GGAGGGCCGGGGCTGGCCGGGGAGCCCGCCTCGCCCCGCTCCCCCCTCGGTTTCTCCCGTTCGCAGAGCTGCCGAGCCCCGGTGCGGAGTCGGTCACGTTAAGCGTTGCAATTTTAAGTTCTTTAACAGTATTTGCCAGTTACTGTGCAAACCGACGCGACTTTTTTTCCCCCCCCTTGCAGCAAATCTGCTAACTGTAATGCCCACATATCATTTTTAAAGGATAACCTACTTTAAAGGATAGTCCTATCAAGTATTTAAGTGCATGCCCGTTTTCTGTTGTCGCTCTCAACGAGGCTAGTTCGGGATTATCCTACTTAAGGGAAACTGGGGAGAATGTTGGTTAATGTTTCTTGAGCATATATTTGCAGTGCAAAAGTTGATTAAAAAAAGAGAAGCTCTAAATTAAAAGTATCAGAAATTAAGATTTCCCAAGAGCTTTGCATTCTGTTGTGGTATTAAAATACAGTCATAGTTAAATTCTAAAGATCATTTAATAAATGAATGAGAACTGATGATCTTACAGACTAAAATGGGCTAAGTGAGATGCGTTTCAGCGTTTGTCTCTGTTTGTATCAACGTGAATCGGTGTGACTAACTGGTTTGTATATGGGACATTTTCAGCCAGGTTTGGAGATGGATTATATGACTCCTATATGAGGATAGATCAGATTAGGTACCAAGAGTCTACAAATGAAGAACACAGCCCCTCAGGACTTCCTTCCCTTGGAAGAGCTAATGTGAGTATTTTAAAGTTGTCTGGGTCTTCACCAAGTTGTGTTTTGTGGCAGTGAAAACTGTCAAGGAGTTAGGTATCTCACTACAGAGAATAAATTTAAAAAGTGGGATGTTGCAGCTTTGTAGAGCTTATTAACATCATTGCTTTTACTAAGCATATAAGCGATGTGGTATTGTGTTCAATGTAGAACTTGCTAGGCAGCCTCAGAAATCCTATCTTACTATCCTCAGCTCATGTTTTAATCAAGAAAGTTATTTTACAAACGGTTGAAGTGTTCTCCCGTGTCACCTTGTATGTTGATAAGTATGTAAATCCACACATGCTTTGCTTTAACTCTTGCACGTTTCCATTTTAGTTTCCCTCGTGAAAATTCCAAAGATAAGAACTTACGAATGGCAGAAGGAGCAGTGTGGGTTTGCATGGCTGCCAAACATCTTACAAAAGTATCTTTCTCCTCTGAAAACTTTGGCATTATCTGCCACTACGTTTGCTAGCAAAATAGCTCTTTCTAGACTGAAGGTGTTAACATGCTTCTATGTAAGTGCTGTGTTTCCTCAGCAGATGTGGAGTTACGAGATCTTTCCTTAACTTGATTCAACTGAGCAGTGGTGGTCATGTTTAGCTGTACAGTGATCTGACCTTTGTATGGTTTATAAATTTGTTTTGGCTCTTGTCGAATTCTGGCAGAAATGAAGGAGCTTGAGCTTAAAAAAAACACTCTTTAAAATGTGAAAATAGACATTTCATTGAGTAAGATGCATTTGAAAATCATCACCTTGCGAGAATTTATTGTAACAGATATTAATAATTAATGTGGTCTGTGCTGTTCACTGAGCAAACTCAGCAGCATGGGTCTGTGTTTTCCCTTTTTGGCAACATTGAGGGAGAGCGGAAGAAATGTGGAGAGCGGAAGAAATGTAGAGATTTGTTGAGTAGCACAGTTTGAAGAGTAGTGGGTTGGTTTTTTTGCAGGGAGGTGGGAACTCTTAAACTGCAGTGTTTAAGTTGTAGTGTAACTACAGTTGTTCATAACTGAAGAGAAATCTGTAGAATCCAGTTAAATACAAATATAACTCTATGAATATTTTGTTTCCCTGGTGTATCTTATTCTTCATCTGTATTTTGTCCGTCAAGCCTGTTAACTTCTTAAGGCAAGATTAAGGACTATAAAATGCCTAGTTTTGCCATAATGACACATCAAAGAAATACAACCTTAGTGGTATCTTGTGAGCAGGAACTGGGGTGAAGCATGCAAGGATGAAAATCATGATGCTCAATTTTAATGGGAAAGTATCTGGAATTAAGTGATATTTGGTTTCCTTCTTGCAAGATTTTTGTATTACGATGTAATGTTACATGAGAATTGAAAAATTCTGGTGTCTGCAGCTGTCCATTCTTTTCATCTTAGCTATAAGAGAACATAAATATCTCTGCTTTGAGAATACATGGTTTTAATTCAATTTGTTTAATTCAGTATTCAGAAAATAACTGACGCACTTTTGCAAAACCAATTGTGTAGGAACTGGGTTAACTGTTTCCTTCTCAATTAAAATGAAGTTTTGTAAGTATGTGAAAATCTTCAACAGGGTGCCACTTGTGTTGTCAGTCTAATTTCTTGGCTGCTAATAGCACTTTATCAATAAAACAAAACCTGGGCAGCCTGTGATCTGTAAAAGAAAACTGTTGAAAGTAGGCTGATGTTACCCAGCAGTCAGCTGACTTTAAGTGCAGCTCTCCTGAGTTCAAGTTAAGATTGATCTATATTTGTGTCTAACTGTCATGCGGCAAGTGATTTTGGTAGTCCTCTAAGAATGAAAATTTAGTCCTTGCTACTGTTGAGTCAGATTTGAGATCTAAAGCTGTAGTTTCTTCATTAAGAAATAGTTCCAGGATAAATGGAATCATGAATTCCGGGTTTATTTAGGGATTCAAAGGGACAGAATGTTTGCCACAAACAGCATTAGCAGAGTTGCTATTGCTCCTGGATAGGGAATATTTAGATGTAGTGCTGTTTGCAAGGCTTTCACACTTTATAATGTAGCGCGTTTTGAAGTCTTGGTGCTTAATTCATTCGTCCAGCTAGAGAAGGCTGCTCCGCAGAGCCCTGCTGGTACGAACTGCCATGGCAATGTTCGGCGTCAGGGTGGTTGTCTGCAAAGATGCAGTTGTGTCTATTCTGAAGTCACAGTGATAAAAAGCTGCTTCTGTTGTGCATACAATTGAAACCCGTGTAGGAAGAATATCGAGTTTTGATTGCAAAAGTGAAAATAAGACTTCTACTGTAGAAGGACAGGCTTGGTTTGGTTTGGTTTTTCCACCTCTCTCCTGCACCCCCCCGCCCTTCAAAAAACTTCAGAAAACAAACAAGTGTGAACCTTGTTCTGTGCTTATGTTCACTGTTTATTTGTAAACTTACTGTTTGAGTCTGCTGGACTGAATAGTCTTTTAGCCAGTTCTGAAAATAGGTCATTCTTATCTTGGAGGTCCAGCCAGACTCCGAGAAAAAGGCATTTATTCTAAGTTATCAGGGTTGGGCTTTGGTTTTTCTATTTGAGACTTTCTGGAAAGGCGTGTCTCGCACAGGACACTGTATTTTTCGGTTGATAGGACTGAAAGTAGTGGAACTTAGTAGGATATATCCAATGGCCCCTGGTCACCATTGATAAGGACTGACTCCTGCAGGAAATGCCCATTTTTGGGGGGCTTTTGAGCAAGAGCTAACATTTCAAGGCAGCACCAACAGAGTCTTAAAAGAGATGTGTGGAGTTGTTTTTGGCGAGAACGTTCACTTCCCTTATTTACTGACTGTGCCGAGATGTTGGATTGTATGTAACTAAAAAGGAATTTGGTTTTATTGCTGTGGATCTGCAGGTTTATTTATATTTTTTGTTTGATTCCTGTGTAGTTATTTTGGTTTTCAGGGATTCGGTTTGGCATGTGTCTCAAATCTTTATTTTTAGATTAAAGGACAAAATGGAAAACAGATGTTGCTACTCTAGTCATGGCTTCTTCAGTGTTGCACAGGATAAGACAACACCTCTCTGCTGTCTATCGGCATGGAGTGTCAGTGAGTAGAAAAGGGCAATAAGTGCTGTTCAAGTAAGGAACTGAACTCCAGGGAGTTGCGCATTTAGTAATTTGTAAAAATGACAAGCTTGAAAAATTTCACAGTGCTTTTCTCACCTTCTATGCATTCATTTCAGATGTAAATATTTTAACAAATGGCAGTAAGAGGCAGTGGTTACAGACTACTGTCAACAGAGTTGGAGTAAGAGAGGTTCTTCATTATTCAAAGCTTCCAAGTCTGTCTTAAGATAGTTGTGCAGCTATCATAATTTTAAAATGAGCTGTGGATATGATGGTATTTTCCCCTTCAAAGAAAAACCATCAATTTAAACAAAAAAAAAAAGTGTGGTTCATCTTGTCTTGCTCTGTCATCCTTTTGCTACTTGTTCAGCTTGGTTACCCCAGGCTTATGTCACTTGCTGTCGTTTCTTTGTCTCCTTTGGCACACTTGTCTTTGCAATATTCCTAACACTTCTCTGCACATTCATGTTATGTTGCATGTTTCAGACAGGTGCAAGTTGCATCTGTCGTTGGTTGTGTTTGCTGCACCCACGTTTAAAGCTAAACATAGCTGTTCCCTGGCTGTTTGCTGACTACGTGCATACTAGTAGAGATAGGTATTGTGTCCTTGTTTGAGCGTTTGACTCTCTAGGGTTTACCCTTTATGGACTTAAAAGTACACTACATTTGTGTAAGTGCTTGTTTCAGTAAATAGCAGTCTCTTTGTGTACCCTTCTATAACTACGCTTGTAAGTTGAGTTAGTTTAGGTCCAGCATTTTATATTTGTTCCTAATAGAAATGCAAAACCCATTGATGTTACTGTTTTTGTTTTATGTGGTATTGATTTTATTCTTAGTCTGTGCTTTAAAAGATAAAGTAAAGCTTATTTTTTTGTTTTTCCATCTGTAGGTTTCTAGCAACAAACTCGCAATGAAGGATCACTCTCTGACTGGAAGTCAGGTCAAAGTGGAGCAATTATTTGAGGACTCTGGCAACAGAAGGAGTAGCACTCTTCAGTCTTCAGGAATCACTGGTTCAGAAAGATCTCTTCCTTCCCTGACGAAAGATAAAAGTATAGAGAGCATAAGCACTTCTAAAGGTGGTGGTAGTTCCTCAAAAGCACATAAAGCGATTTCCCAAGCTCCAGAACAAGCTGTCAAACAGTACAAACATCAGTTATCTGCTTATGAGCAGCAAGAGATATTTAATTTTTCTGAAATTTACTTTGTGGGTCCAGCTGCAAAAAAGAGACAAGGAGTAATTGGTGGTCCCAACAATGGAGGTTATGACGATGACCAAGGCAGCTACATTCACGTGCCCCATGACCATCTTGCTTACCGGTATGAAGTACTCAAAATCATTGGCAAGGGCAGTTTTGGACAAGTTGCTAAAGTCTACGATCACAAACTCCACCAACACTTAGCCTTAAAGATGGTTCGCAATGAAAAGAGATTCCATCGCCAAGCAGCAGAAGAAATCCGGATTCTGGAGCATCTGAAGAAGCAGGATAAAACGGGCAGTATGAATGTTATTCACATGCTGGAAAGCTTCACCTTTCGGAACCACATCTGTATGACCTTTGAACTCTTGAGTATGAACCTGTATGAGCTGATTAAAAGAAATAAGTTTCAGGGCTTCAGCATCCAACTGGTACGCAAGTTTGCTCACTCTATACTGCAGTGTTTGGATGCCCTTTTTAGAAACAAAATCATACACTGTGACTTGAAGCCAGAAAATATCCTCCTGAAACAGCAAGGGAGGAGTGGAATCAAGGTTATAGATTTTGGGTCCAGCTGTTTTGAGCACCAAAGAGTCTACACATATATTCAGTCTCGATTTTATCGGGCACCAGAGGTAATTCTGGGAAGTCGCTATGGGATGCCCATAGACATGTGGAGTTTTGGCTGTATTCTGGTGGAGCTATTGACTGGATATCCTCTTTTTCCTGGAGAGGATGAGGGAGACCAACTGGCTTGTATGATGGAACTTCTTGGAATGCCACCTCAGAAGCTTCTGGATCAATCCAAGCGAGCCAAGAACTTCATCAACTCTAAGGGTCATCCTCGCTACTGCACTGTAACTACACATGCAGATGGAAGAGTGACCCTTAATGGGAGTCGATCGCGCCGGGGTAAAATACGAGGCGCTCCAGGGAACAAAGACTGGGTGACGGCACTGAAAGGCTGCGACGATCCCTTGTTCATAGAGTTCTTAAAAGAATGTCTCAGCTGGGATCCTTCTGCACGCATGACTCCGAGTCAAGCTTTAAGGCACCCTTGGATTTGTAAACGAACGCCCAAACCACCCAGCACTGATAAAACCTCCAATAAACGGATTTCTAGCTATACAAGTTCTTTCACAGGAATAGGTTCCAAGTTGCCTCCTGTAGTTGGAGTAGCGAACAAGCTGAGAGCTAATTTAACATCCGACTCCAATGGCAGTATACCTCTATGTACTGTGCTACCCAAACTGGTCAGCTAGTAGAGAATTATGTATTTCCAAAATACATACCTTGTATTTTAATTGTTTGTTAATAATGTGTAAGGAAGTTAAATGCAGAGGTTTTTAATGGATTTACTTTTTATTAGAGGCTAAATCTTGAATATAAAAAGCTCAGTCAAAATGTACACATTTAAAGGGCTAACTTTTATCCAATTGTTTCACTCATATATGGTGCATATTACATCACTGGGTAGGTCAGCTCAGCTGTTGAGTAAAATGACAGTTTGACAGACGTGCTATTTAATAATGCTGTTTTAGAAATCAAACTATTTCTTATCAGGATGGTTTAACAGATTCTTTTGCTTAAGACAGCAAGGGAAATTGATGTAAAATACGTATTTTCAGTTAATTCCCAACTGAACTCTTTTTATTCTGGGGAGAGTTTTTACATCTATTGTCAAAAGCACAAATGTGTTAATGTAATGCATTGGGAACTTACTTGCAAATTGCTAACTTATGTTTGAAGAATTTGATTTCTCTGCACTGCTTTTCCCTTATCTACCCTGACTGAGATTTTTAAAAATACCATGGGATGTAGACACCAAAGGAATTTGGTGTTGAAATTTTATCGTCTGAATTTTTTTTTTCCCCAAAAGAGTGTAGAAATGCCATGGAACACAGGATATATCTAAATAAAATTACTAACTTCTGTACACTTGCTATTTCCCGTAAAAGTCTGTGGAAAGCTGGTAGGGGAATTCAAGATGAGGACTGGTCCATCACAACTGTGGGCCAGTTTGTTCATGGCTCAATGAATCAATTATGTTTCTTTGGAGCTCAGATTTAAATCATCAGTTCTGCCAGGTGTGTGTGTGTTTGTTTGTTTTCCTGTGATGTTCCCAAAACAAAAATGTTGAACTTAAAGAGCTGTTTTATAAACATGTTTGAGATTCTGGTAATTTTAAAAATGTCTTTTTTTTTTTTTTTTTTTTTTTGTAGAGTGAATTCCATTGAATTAAATGGAGCTCTTTTAATAAAAGGCAAACATGCCACCCCTATCAGACAAGTAGAAGTTTTTAAGGCCCAGGACTGTAACTAGAAAATGCTGGGGGGGTTGGGCACGCCTAGTAATTAGAAGCATGTTCTGAAATCTAAGCATAATCTGTGAAATATCAGGAAAGACTGATAACGTGCAAAAACTGGTGGATCCAAATCAAAATATGTTATAGGAAGAATTGCTTTATTTCTAATCACATTCCTTCAGGTCTTTGAGAGAGACATGCCTACGTTTTCTCATTCTTCAAATACATGAGCTTGTATTTCCTCTTCCTTTATCTTCCAAGAACATGAAAAGGTGGCGTGATCTGTAATGACAACAGCACAACTTGTTCGGGTTGTTACTTCTTGCAGCCACATGGCCCAAGTCCATTTACAGAAACATCTGATCTCTTGCCAGGTGCCTGAACACAATTTTAAATACAATTTAGAGCCTTTATGAACAGAAGGTTTTAAATTTAATGAGTTTCTCTGTAGCAGGTTTTTAATGTTAAAACAAGGAGACTCTCGGTATACAAACAAAGGAATTATCAGAGTGATTTTTAAGATAAGGTGACCACATGTTCAATACAAGACCCACCCTCTGGGAAGATGGGGCTGCAGTTTCTCCTCTACTCTGTTTAATTACAGCACTGGTGAAATGCTGGGTGGAGGCCTGTATAAAAAGTCAAAAAGACAGCCAAAGCTTCAAACTTTCCAGGACTGTTGTTTAAACTGAGGTTCTCGTGTAGTTGGCTTTTCTGAGTTCTTTTGTTTTACAAGTGTAAATTCAATAAGCTTAGTAATAATATTAAAATAACAGTCTAGCCTTTATCTGTGCAGCTACAAGTAATACCAGCAGGTATGGTATGTTCATGGTTCACTTCGTAATAATGCATGACTGGTATTTTTTATTTTGCTTGGCTGAGTGAAGTTTTATTTGAATGGAGAATCAGGGAAGTGGATTTTTGGGCAGAAAATAGTTACCATCGATTTTAGTAGAATCTCTAATAGATGTGGCACGTTTTCAGAAGCCAGAAACATTCTTCTTCCTCCTCTGCCCTTTACACTATGCATTTTTTTTATGAAATATACCTGGTGAGCGAGGAGAAAGGAACCTTTCAGGAGCAATAGCTTGTTAGGAAAGATGCATAGAAAAGCACTTTATGTAGAGACTGTAAAGTGATGGTAGTGTTTGGAGCCTGGCAGAAGACAGTAGAGTGTTGGTGTGCTAGGAGCTGTACGAACAGGTCTTCTCTTAGGAACACAGAGCAGTATCTTGGTGCTAAACCATTTTCATCTATAAAATGCCAAACGTAGAATAATCGTTCTCCTGTGACTTCTGGGAAGTAGTTACTGTGAGGTAACTTCTAATGTAACATCCTCTGGTGTACACGCAGTAACCTCACTTAAGGCTGGTGCTGTAAAACTGCAGATAAAGTAATTAGCTGGCAAGAACATTGCTTTTTAGCTAGAAAATGTGTTCAGCATGACCTGACTGCACAAGGTGCTTGTTATGAGTTGTGTATGTTTAAGACTGGATCTTACTTTCTTGGGACTATTATATTTTAAAATCAAGTGCATAGTTAACTGTCTTGCTAATTTGGGTCTCTTGTCTATATAGCCGTAGCAGATGAGAAGGAAAAGGAAGCAGCCTCAGCAGATTTTTACTATATTGAAAAGGACTTCTTCATAGTCCAGGGAATACAGCTGAGAATATTTTGGTCTTGTTTCCAATTACTAAGCCCCATTTTCTTTATAAAATGTTTGCTTTCAGCGAATAGTATGACACTATTCTCAAACTGGGAGAGCCTTCCAAATGAGCTAATAAATCTCATATCTGGGAGAGAGCTGAGGAATCGTCCCTGCAGCACTTGACTTTTTGAGTTCCCTGTGAATTGGCATAAGAGTTGCCCACAGCCACGCGTGGAGGGTTGGACCACGGGCTGCGTCGTTGGATGATGTCGTTTATAAAGGGTGGTCACGGTCACAGTGGCTGTCTTCGCTGCGATACGGTCGAATGTCAAATTCACACTTTGTTCTTTGCAAAGCTAAACACTAGTGAGGTCTGAAATCGCCAGAAGTCCACCATTTTCATTAGTTGTGATACTGGTTAGAATGTTAAAAGTACTCTAGAACTAAACTTGTCTAAATAGATAACAGAACAGCTTTTATTTTTGTGGTAGCTCTTTGCTTTGCAAGCTTGTTAATCTGTGAGCACTAGTGAGATTCCACTGGAACTTCAATCATGTTCTTCTAGGAAGTTAGCACAAAACAAATGCAAATTACTTGGGTTTACAGCAAAACGGACATCACACTTATAAAAGTCACTTAAACTTGATTTAAAATGTTCCTTATAACGTTCGCTCTGTTTTACTACACTGTTGGTCTCTGTATTGTAAATAACATGCTCTGTTTATTGTCTGCATTTTTACCTGTTTGCTTTAGCAATATTTTTATATACACGAATGACAAGGCATCAGCATCACATCTGACAGATACACATTACTTTTACATGGGGGTCCAAATCTTATCTGCCTGTCCAAGTTGCAAGGAGAAACTTGTTTTTATTTGAACTCAGTGGGACAGTGAAGTATTATCCTTCGCTGCGGAATGTGGTACCACAGACAGACACCCACCCAGGCTGCGTTTAGTTCTTTACAGGTTTGATCTTACTAATGCCAACTGCTGAATGTGAAGCTTGTTTCACAACAGAGATGTGATTATAGAGATCTTCTCCGTACCACAGATACCCTTCACTAGAGTTTTTTATCCTTCCATCCAGCTTGTATAGGAATGCTAGTTGTCGGGTAACCTAAGAATTCAGAACAGACTGTAAAGCTTTAAGGTAACTTTGTGGAAGAGTGTGTGTGTTGCTCAATCTGACGTTGTTTACAATCCTTGTGACCTGGTAGGACTTTCATCCAGTTGAACACTTTTTAAGCAGCAATTTATCAGTAGAGGTTCTTTGCAATGGTCATCCTCTTTAAAACTACCTCCGAAATAAGCCTAGGGTCCTTTTTAAAGGGATATACACTGTGGACAACAGCTCTTCTTTTTTTTTCTTGTTTAATACTAATAGCTGTTTTGGCTGTGAAACATATACATGATGATCTCAGCAATGTCTTACTAATCCTAGCCATACAAGCAAAAGGCTGATTCTGCACCCAGAGATCTCTGCTGAAATGATTGATACAAATGCCCTGCCTGCCAAAGTTTAACACTGTTGTGGAAGTGGAGAGCCAAAATAATATGGAAAGATCTGCGGTACTTCTCTGCAGTACCCAGCTGAGATTTAAAACAAGCTGTGCTGACAGACTTTTCCTTAATGAAAAAACCTGCAGCTTTTGCATGTGTTGAGCACTCGGAGCTGTGGGTACCTGGCAGTTTTGAAAACTGGACATCATGTTTTTAAATTTAGTGTTTGTCACAGATACCACTTGATGGTGGAGTTTTTGGAGGGTTTTTTTGTTTGTTTGTTTCTGTTTTAATTTGATAAAGGTTTGGGGAAATGCGTACACTTTGTACTTCCCGTAAAAGAGCCCTTGTGTATTCTAAAACTCCACTGATACCTTACGATTTTTCGACTCCCACTGTAACATGTAAAATCCTTGGGTCATCAGAGCAGTCTTGGATAGGTGAACGTTGTCCCTGCGCTCGGAGGGTGCAGTGACTTTAATCCAAATACAGTTCTTGCAGACGGGCTAACTAGGTCAGTAAGTCTGTGTTGCTAAAAGAATAACCCATGTTCCCTATACATAGTACTGTGCCTTATTATTTTACCAGCCTACATCTGTCTTGGTGCAATCAAATTACTATTCAGGGTTTCTTATACGTTGCAGATGTTCATACTAAATGTCAATGTCTAAAGGTTAGCCTTTTTATTATAAATATTGTGATGAGGTGTAATATGGTGGAGAATATAGAAAACATGTAAGGTGCATGTGAATATAACTCTCTGTGAAGGAACACTTTGGAAATAAGTCAGTCTCAAACTATGTATC